ACAGACACACCTGGAGCTCCACGAGTCATCTTCATAACAAGGCAGGAGCAGCAAAGACAACATGAACACACCCCCATAAACACGTCCGCTGGGAGCTCAGTGTTGTCACCGAGTTCCAAGAAGGGAAGAACGAAGGAGAGGTGTATAAATCCTGAGACCAGACACGCAGGGGCAGGGACGTGACCCAGCTGTCCGGAGCTCGGTCCAGTTGAGAAGCCGGACACGACCGGTCCGGCTCCACAGAGCCCTCTGTCGTCTTTTCCGGCCCAGTCCAAGCACGAGAGAAACTGCCGGCGCTCTATACCAAGGCCTGATGGACGGGCTCCTGCCGCACCGGAGCTGCACCTGAAACCGGGTCGGGTTTCGATCCGAGAAGTCAGCAGGGAGACAAAGGGAACTCTGCTCCTGCAGATTTATCCCAAACGAGTTCTGATTGAGGCGAGAGCCCAGCGGGGCTTTGTTTTAAAACATACGGTTCAATGGCATCCTGACAGGCTTTGTCGTGGTAGGGTAGGGGTGTGTGTGTGTGTGTGGGGGGGGGGATATATTGTCCTCCTGTTTAATATTAGACCCCCAAGTCTCGTTATGAAGAAGAAAAGGGTCAATCAGCATCTCGGTTTGAGGAGGAGGAGGAGAGGGGGGAGGTGAGGGGTCGGCCGCCGGCGAGCCGAACAAAGGCAGCGGATACCGACCGGTACACCAAGGGGGTTCGGCTGGGCTCGGTTCGGTTCTCTGCCTCCTATTTCCTCCCCCCAATATTGGCCGTGTTCGCACAAGCCCACGGCCATGGGCCGCGCCGGCCCAAATCCCAAATCCGTCGCCGGCGTCCCCGAAGCCGAGGCGACGCACCAATATTTATCTAGAGACGAAACAACGTTTCACAAAAGCTGTTGGCCGCCATCCTTTGTCTCTCCCCCCCCCACTACGGAGAGGGAGGAGGTGGTGGTGGTGGTGGTGGTGGGAAGGGGTAATTCGTTTTCACCGGCCTGACAGGAAAAAAATAAAACCTTCGTCGTGTCACCCGGCCCGCCTCACAACCCAACCCCGAACCCCGACACGACGGCCTCCACAATCGCGCTCCCTCCCCCTCTGTCGGGGGAACAGGTAGAAAACACGGCCTGAGGGGCTGTTATCACACAGCGATACCGCCCCCCCCCCTCCACCACCTCCACCGGATCGGGGCACTAATGAAATCAAAGCCGGCTTAACACCCCTCCGAGTTCCCCTCGGTAATCCCGGATCCCCAGGAAAGATAAAAAAAAAAAAATCAACCTAATTTGACGCCGGGGCATCTCGGTATGTGCGTGTGTTTGACTGAGTGGCGGAGGGGGAGGGCACAACGTTAGAAATAAACGGGAATTGGGGTGAAAAAAACCGCGATCAGATCTGATAATCCTCTCATTAACCCCCTCACACACACACACACACCTCCCCAGCCCGGCTCTCTCTCTCCCTCTCCCTCCGGCCGCCCGCGTGCTGCCGTCCCGCAGTTCAAACCCTAACGGACGGCCCGGACCGCGGCGCGTGCCCGCCTCCCGCCCGCACCGGGGGAGACCGGGGAGGACCAGAGCCTCACAAGGTGGCGGCGGCGGCGGCGGCGGCGACAGACGCGGGCCGCCTTTTCCCTCTCGTCGTTTTGTCACCCCCCGCCCCCCAGCACCACAGGCAGCCCCGGTTTCACCCACAGCGGACCCGCCTGTCGTTATCATTCGCGGCAGCGGCGAAACCCGCGGCGCTTTACCTGCGCAGGGGGCTCCAGTAACAGACGACTGTCTCTCTCCCTCCCTCCCTCTCTCTCTGTCCTTATTACAAGCGCTGCCTTTTTAAAAAAAAAAAACAACAACAGAGACGGGCTCTGAGGACAGGCGTCTCTTCCCGACGTGTGACAGCGCGACCACCACACCAACGACGACAAAAAAAAGAAAAATAGCGAGACGGGTCCCCGAAGGCTCTCCGCGCCCGGAGCCAGACGCGTCTGACACATCCCGACCCGCTGTCCCAGACAAAGGCAGCCCTCGCCACCGCCACCGCCACCGCCACGCCGAGGCCAGCGCATCATAAATCTCAGGCGGTTAAAAAAAACAAACAACAACAACAACCACCCCCCCAAAAAAACATCAATCGATCCATCGGCCGCCAGCAAAGCTGCGCAAGCGCCGGCGTCCGCCGAGCGGGCGAGACATTGCCGGCGGGGCGACGTCGTTTTTGGTCCGGACGGCACACGTCCTTACCTCAAGCCTGGTGGGGGTCAGGGTGCCTTCGCGGCGGCGGCGCCTCTCGCTTTGCGATCAGGTGAAAGAAAGGAGAGGAAACGGGGAGAGATGAGCGCAGGCAGGCAGGCAGGCAGGGAGGGAGGGAGGGGGTCCCTCTTCAGGCTCCGCTGCGCACCCCCTCAACAACAAAAAAAGCCCCCCAAAACCCTGCAATCTACAGCCTCGATTTCCCGGTCCTTCCCTGCGCCTGTGTGTTTTTTTTTTTGTTGTTGTTGTTGATTGCTTTAATTCCCGGTCCCCGGGCTTTTAAATCTGCGCTCTCTCCTCTGCCTCTTCAGCGGGGCTGGTGCAGCAGCAGCAGCGCCGCATGTTTTGGAAGCATTTATCAAATCTCCCCCCCCACCACCACCACCACCAAAACCACGGAGGAAAAAAAAAAGAGAAGAAGCGTGCGGCAGGAGGAAAAAAAAAACCCAGCAGCGGTTGGAAACCTCGTCTTGTCTCTTTCTTTCTTTTCCTCCTCGATTCAATCAATCAATCAGCCGCTGTTGTGCGTGTGCGCTTGGCGCGCCGTCCCTCTGCAATGAATGAACGGCCGAGCGACGGGCGCTCGTTCACGCTCTCGCTCGCTCTCTCTCTCTCTCACGCACGCAGGCACGCACACGTACACGCGCGGGTGCGAGCACGCACGCCCCCCCCTTCGGCGTTGAAGATAACAGCCTCGTCCAATTGACGGGGTCGGGAGTCCCGTTATCTCTGACGCTGCACCCCCCTCAACCCGCGCACAGAACTGGGTCTTCGAGCCCTGATTTGTATGTTCATGCAGAAAATGCAGGTATTGTCTCCCCGGTGATTTTTCGGTCCGACGTGCGACCCTCCGCGTCTGGCGGACGGTATACGGCTCTCCGGGTCTGTCGGGGCTGCAGATAAGCTGGGGGGGGGCATCGGCTCACACGCTGCCGGCTCCGCATAGTCCCCAGCGGGCACAGCTCCCCGCCTCTTTCTGTGGGCTCACCTGGAGAGCACAGGAGCACGGCGACAACCGGCTTTCAACCCGAGCACACTGGCGCTTTCCTGTCGGCGACTGCGTGTGTGACTCTCCTGCCCGGCCCGGCTGCGTGAACGCCCGTGGCTTTAGATGAACGCCACAGCCGAATTGATGGGGATCGGGGCGCCGGGGCCCAAGCGGTGACCCTGTAGGTCAAGGAGGTGTCGTACAAACGTGTTGCTCGCATCTACCCTGCCCAGAACGTGGTCGTGCACAGCTCAGAAGCGAACGGAGGAGAGCACCGTGTCTTTTGTGAAAGCAGTCCGGTTAAAACTGTTTAAAACACTCTGGACTGACCTGCGCAAGTACACAAAGGAGGATGCCGATATTTACGGTTCTTTCGGAGAAATCGGTGTTATTTTAGTTTTTAATCCCATCCAAAAATACCAAAATATCATTTTGTCATGACTTAGTCGTTATACCTGGTCCTGAGTATAGACATGACATGGTTTGGGAAATGACCTACATTTGAACAATTTAAAAATAGGCTTAAGAGCGTATCTGCAGACCATTTCTAAATGTAAGAACACGAAAGCTGTCCGTAGCCTATTTTTATTCACATCATTCACCCTTTTTTGGGGTGTAAAATGCAGCATTACCCCTGATGATGTTATACGTACTCTTGTGCGTATTGTACACATATATTATTGCAACAAAAAAGTTGAAAAAATATCACTTTCCTAGATATCTCGAAGGAAAATCATAATCGTAATCTTGAAAGTGCTCCCTTATGTTCAGAGCATATCCTGTTGTTTCGGTCACTCAATAATTTATAGATTATTGAAAAATCCACAGAGAATCGGCTTCATCGACCTGGTGTTGGGCAGCATGTTACAGACACCCACCACCCTTTGTGCAAAGTAGCGCTTGTCAAACGTTCCTGCCTCTTTATTTGACGCAAAGGCTAAAAGAAGCGCTAAGGGGAACGTAATTTGTGTCCTTTTGAGCCGCCAGTTATAATGATTTTTGTATTACACACCCTTTCCGAGTGGAGTCGCTCGCAGCGACGACGACGACTCCTCGCCCCCCCGGAAGACACGCCCCCGCCCCGTCAGAGCCAATCACCTTTCGGCACGCTGCGCAGTGCCTGCTGGGAGAGCGAACGCCGAGTGGAGGAGCGGCACGTGTTTCGCTGACGTCACCGCAGGCGCCCCGGAAGTCGCAGGACCTGGCTGTTTTGCTTAGACCCCGCCCCCCCCCCCCCGACCGACTCCCCGCAACTCGTCCCCAGCGCCCGGGGCGTGGAAAGAACGCAATGCAAAGCGCTGCTTCTGTAACCCCCTCCAAGAAAACCACCCCTGTGCCCCCCCCCGGTCGCCAGGGCAATATCTCGGCGCCGAGACTTCAGGAGCGTGTATAAAATCCATCACAGTTTGTTTACATTCCGGGGAGGGCAGCCATAAGCGCGCCGTGTACCCTGCGCTGTCTTAAAGCGGGGCTGTGTGTGTTCCGTACCTCGCTCTGAGAGCACACACACACACAGAGTCGCTATGAATCACGGGCCATGCTTTCCCCAGCCCGGGGGTCACGGAGGAGCCAGGGGTTGGCAACGCGCGATTGTTATTGTTCGAGTATTGATTGACGCTGCGGCTGCCAACGTTGTCTTTCTATACAGAAAGGGCCGGAATGTGGCGCCCCCCCCCCCCTCCCCAGCAACCTCGGGGATTGGGTGGGCTTGGAAGAGCAAGCAAGGCTCTAGGAGTCGGGGGAGTTTGAGGAGCGGTGGGCCCTGCTGGGCAGCCGGAACCAGAACCAGTCCTTATAAGGGCAGAGCAGCTGGCTGGGGCTGGAGGGCTGGGGCTGCCTATACACCAGGTGGGAGCAGGACCCCTGCCTAGTCGGTGGTCTCCGCCGTCTCGGCACGGTGAAGGCGGGGCTCGGGCCTGTTCACCCGTAGGGTCGATCCCCCGTCTACACTGCGCCCCGGCACCGGAGGGGGGGTCAACCGCCCCCTTCTTAACACGAATCCGGCGTTCAGAGCTGTGGTACCTGCCTGCCTCTTTGGCGCGCTCACTGCAGTTATATAGACGCCAGCCGCCATATCGCCCTGCAGCTCACCACTGGCAGCCCCACTGGAGCTCAGCAGGAGGTGAGCCTGGCCAGTACCTGGAGGGGAGACTCCTGGGAGAGCTGAGGCTGCTGCTGGAAGAGTTGTTAGTGGGGGCCAGCAGGGGGCGCTCACCCTGCGGTCTGTGTGGGTCCTGATGCCCCAGTATAGTGACGGGGACACTAGACTGTAAACAGGCGCCATCCTTCGGATGAGACGTCAAACCGAGGTCCTGACTCTCTGGGGTCATTAAAAATCCCAGGGTGTTTCTCGAGAAGAGTAGGGGTGTTACCCCAGTGTCCTGGCCAAATTTCCCATTGGCCCTTACCAATCATGGCCTCCTGATAATCCCCATCTATGAATAAATAGGCATCATTACTCTGCTCTCCTCCCCACTGAGAGCTGGTGTGTGGGGTGTGGACTAGGACATCATCCAGGTGGGGCTGCACACTGCTGGGAGTGGAGGGGATCCCCATTACCTGTAAAGCGCTTTGAGTGGAGTGTCCAGAAAAGGGCTATATAAGTGTAAGCAATTAGTATTATTATAAATCATGCGCTTGGCTGGGCCATTCATGACATCAAGGGGAGAAAGGGGGCTTCTGTCTCAGAGATTGAGGTACTGTGTGGCCTCCTGGTAAGGTGGACCTAATAAAAGGGCCAGAGGGGTGGGTGTGTGTGTGTGTGACTGGAGGCCCATTCTCTGTGGTATGTCTGTTCTAATCCGACATGACAAAAGCCAGCGAGAGCCCAGCGCAGAATAACAGTGGGGGTTACTGGTCGTCTGGCCAGCGCAGTGCTTACACAACCCGACTTTCTGCAGATCCCAGCAAATTGTGTCTGTCCCCCCTCCCCCCACTAGCAGGCCCCCCAGATACAGCCTGGTGCTCCCCACCTTGTGTGGCAGTGTGTGACTGGGCCGGGGGGGGGGTGCATGTGTTAGGTTTGGCAAGGGGGGGTGTGTGTGTGAGGGGGGGGGTGCGTGAGTCTGCAAATTCCAATGCAATTATCTCCTTCCTGTTTTTGCAAACTACACAAATCCTGCAAACACAACTCCCC